TATTGGGTTGGCCAAAAAGTTCGTTTGGGTTTTTCCGTAACATCTTACATCTTTACATCTTCCGTAACATCTTTGGGAAAAACCCAAACGAAATTTTTGGCCAACCCAATAAAGACTGAGCAGTTTTGAATTTGCTTTAAAAAAAAAATGCCTGGTTTGCAGAGCTGAGCTTTGTTAAGGAAGAAGCAGAATTAAAGCTTTTAGGGTTGGGTGCTTGTATTGGGTTAAGGTGTTCCTAAACATGGACATGCAAATCAGCACACTCTTTGGGTGACATAATGGAATAAACAACACAGGGGTTGGTGCAGATGACTTCTGAGGTCCTTCCCCACTTGAAACTCAAGAACAACCCATGTTTACATGTGCCTGTCTTATGCCGGGCACCACTGCATACGTCATCTTATTTGATTCCAGTCTGTGATCATCCACAAGAAATGCAGCCCAGGGGACAGAGGCAGCTGTCTGCTCACCTTATCCATGCTGGCCTGGTTTAGTCTCATGATGGAGGCGTGAGCCAGGCGGTCGTAGACTGTCCTCAGGGCCTTTTTGGAGTAGAGCTCTTGGGGTTTGAACAATTCCTCCATAAACTTTCGATTGAACATGGTTGAGATGATGTCATTCAGAACTGTAGAGACAAGAGAAGATGCAGCTGAACAAGGTACTGGCGGAAGCTTTATTCAGGAAATGTTCCCTGGGTATGAATGGAATGGAGGAACCGGGCCTATGTAGAGTGGGGATGTGGATGCGTTTGGTGGGATCTGCTCCCTGGGGAGAAACCACACAGGTGTCCCAGTAGAAAGCAGGGTCAGGAGTGCTTTATGAGACCATCTCAGGGCAAACATACATGTGACAATGTACAAAATACGCTGTGCTTCAACGGTTACAAACCACTTTTACATACATTATCTCACTTGGTGATAGGGGATAAGTTTCTTCTTTCTTTAAAATAGATTCCTATTAGAATCTTTAAAAAAGATTCTTTTCGATTAGAGCTCTACCTTAAAATGATAAACAGCATCATGCTGTTTTGTTTGTTTAGCAAGTTTATAAAATTTTTACTCAAAATTAAATTTTATAAAAATGGGACCTATAATGGTAATTGACTCTTTTTTTTTTTGCAAAACAGTTTACAAAAATAGACAAGTCTACCCACTGGTTAGAGATTAAAACTTTTCTAATGTTTCTATAAGATGTGTACTTCAGATAAACACCATTTTAGGATGCCTTAATTTCTATATATGATCTATAATATTGATATTATACTGTAGTGATATGTCTCATACTGTTGTTCAGATGGAAAATGTCCATACGGTGAGAATAAAAGGTCCTAAGGCATGTGCAAACCAAAGTTTCTACAATTCTAGTTTTTCATTCACTCATTCATTTAGATATTTTGTGCTACTCAAATAACATTAGTTGAGGGCTAGGAAAACCCTTTGGTACAAGAAATAAGAACGGGTATGGTTGAACACAGATTATTCTTAATTAAGCCAGATATATTCCTGCCTAAAGGTGAGGGTATATGGATGCTGAGACTATACATTCATAGTAATTAAAATTTGAAAGAAAACTGGTTACTTAACATAATTATACAAAATCAATTATCAAACTTGGGTGATTATTGCTGAAAGATACAGACGCCTCTTTCTCTTGCCACACAGAGGACACACCAGGTGACTGGCTGTGGCCTTGTATCTTAGAGAGTGAAGGCAAGGTCATGATTTCGGGCACCCTCTCAACCTGTAAGTAACTGATAGACGTACACTGAGGGCTCAGGCCAGCATTTTAAAGTATCTCAAAGGGCAGTTTTGGGGAGAAGCGGGGAGCTGAGGGCTAGTTGTACTTAAATTTTAAATGGAAGGGCTACAGAGAGAGGGGAGAGGGGGATGGGAAACATCTCCCTCCCCACTCCCCCCCCAAGACACAAAAGAACAGACTCCTTCCAGAAGTGTTGAACTCACACTTGACCTTTGGATTTTACTCTATACTCCATCCCATTAGTGAGGAAGCATCAGATCCATTACCAACACAGGGCATCCCTCACACTGGACAGTTCCAACCCAGGGCAGCTTACCTTCGATGTGCACTAACATTTCCCCATTGTCTCCCTAGAGACAGATGAACTCTTCTGGGTTTGCCTCAAGCACAGCCTTTTGCCTTTGACCTAACCAAGCAAGGACCTGCAATAAATTGGGCTTTCTGACATTTTTCTTACCACAGCCTATATAACATGTAGAATTTGCAAGGAAATAGCTACAAATGGAAAGACACGTATAAAGCCTCAGAAGAGAGAATCTGAAGAATTTTCCATAGGTGTACGTAGGCCAGGGAGGAGTGCCAAAGAGGAAGAATTCAAGTTAAAGAATCACACCAGCTCTGATTATGTTCACGCTTACAAAGAGCTCCCATTCCCCTAGGGGCTGCAATATGTCCCTAGGGTCTTTGAGCCTTTAGCAGAACCTAGGAAATTAGCTTAGGCTCAAATAAATCAGCTCTAAAGGAAAGACAATCCCAAGGTGATTGTTAGCCACTCTGGCAAAGTAAAAAGCAAAACGAAGCCTTTCCCCTGGGGGGAAGTGAATAAGCTATGTATCACCATGGCTCCTTGCACGAGAACTTCCAGAAAGTTCTCCTGCTGGAAAGAGAGCACAACAGGCCCTGTCCCTGTGGGCAGAGCAGTGAACACAAATGTCCCCAAGAGGAAATGGCAGTTTTACTGTTGGGCCCTGGCACCCAGAGCGCCCACCTTTCACTTAATTCTTTGGGGGCACAAATTAACATGCTTATATCTCACAGTGTGCTTCACCTGGCACTTGGTTGATGTAGGCCTGCTGAGTACGAGACACTGAGATGAACAGCAGGGCACAAAGAGGAAGTAAACTTTGTCCTTGCCCAAGAGTAGCAGCCCGCACCGTATTCAAGTTAAACCTGAGAAATAGTTTTAACCCGATCTGTCAGTTGGTGCCGGTGTTGGTTTCTGGCACTCTCACGAGCTCTGCATACTTTCATGAGGCAGGAATGTGCTAGCAGCCAGATTTCATCAGGAGACTAAAGCCAGGGAGTGGGGTGGTTTTTCACAGGTGCACTGGAAGGGTCAACAACTGAGTTGTTCACATAACAGGCTTCTAATACCGGGGTCAGATTATGAAGTCAGGTTCTGCTTATTATTTTTGGACGCTTAAGTGAAGATAAATTCCAGTGATTCAATTACTTACATGAAGAGTCCTCAAAATCCATACTTCTCACCTGAAGTTCTGCTGTGCGTCAAGAGGTGGGCCAAAAATTGCTCAAGAGAAGTGGTGAAAGATGGTTGTGAAATATCATAAAAGAGTATCAACCACTTCGATTGGGCTTTTCTTTGAGGCTGGCCTGATGAAATAATTCTCTTGATGAAAGCAACTGAGTTTTTATCAGCTACCTCTGCTGCAAATTTTATTGTTTATGGGAACATACAACTTGGAACCAAGGGTAAAACAGAGAAGCTACTACTTCTGCATGATTACCATGTTTTGAAGCCTTATTATGTTCCAAGTACTGGGCTTAGAACTTTCCATGCATTATCTCATTTAAACCCCAGGACAGCTCTGAATTATTATCCAATTCTCTCAAGCGGGAAAACTGAGCCTTAGAAAGATTAAAGTCCAAGATGACACAGCAGACGGTGGACTTGAAATTAGAATGGGGTTGTTTGATTTTAATGCTTGTGCTCTTAAATATTATATACATTATCTCCTCAGCATACTTGGTGTGGGGAGAGCACTTAAAATATCGAGGACATTGGCTATGACGTGCATAAACTATACCCAAATGTCAAATGATGGAAGATATTCGTGACAGTTAAAGGTGAGAAAGGCTAAGGTTTTATTCTGAGGAATAGACAGCTTTTTCAGGTTTGCTGCTAGTTGTAGGTGAAGAGGAAACTGAAGATTTGGCATGATAAGGCCATAGTGCGTGCGTGTCATGCCTTCTGCACGCAATCCCGGCGGCCATGCAGCCACAGACTTCCATTTTTCTCGGTTGTTCAACAGATATCTCCGTGTGCTAAGCAGAACAGCTCTTAGGCTTCATGATGCTGTCACAGAATTGTTTTAAGGATGACTAAATGGGACAGCCTATCCAGAAATATCGCTACTGCTCCAGCTATCCTTGCAAAGCTTGGAACGGATGAAAAGGGACAAATACCTCAGGTGCAATATGGTCCTTTGGCCAATGTTTCCTTGGTTTTCATCTTCCACTCTGTATTCGGTTAAGTAAAAGATTCAAATGTATAACCGATGTCTCAGCTAAAGAGAAACTCACACCTATTCTTTTATTTGGAAATATTTAGAGTGGCCCCACTTTAAGCCCCGCTGATGAAGGACTGGGTGAACCTGTGGATGCAGACTGAATACATGCAGCCCCGAAATAGCATACCTCGTTTTCTGTCCACCTCTGTCCATTCATCTACATGAAGCATATAAAAAGAAAACACCAGTTCATGAAGCAAGAACGTTATTTTCAATGAGGCTTTAAAAATACCAATTCCAATTACCTGGCTTATGAAACTTTAGTTTTCATGTTTGCATTAACGTTTAATGCAAATGCTCTGCCTTCCATTTGAAACTCTTAAAAGGATGATGGTTAAACAACAAGTTCCAAAAAAGCCCTAGGGGGGCTGTTATCTTACAGAGGGTGGCTTAGGAGGAGAGGAAGCTCAGCAGGACTAGCTACCCTGGGGTTTATCTTGAAAGGCTCAAGAAGTCATCCCCTCTAACACTCTGAAAATACACATCATTCAATACAAGGCTTTTAAAAACACTAACTTCCACAAGGAAGAATAACCCCAAGAACAGGGAGAGAAAGGATTTTCTTTCCTCACAACCAGATTTTCTCATTACTGTAAGATTTTGCTTTCTCAAGTACAGACAGAACCGCTCAAATTAAAAAAACTTGAAATGTGAATTAATAGGGGAAAAAGTCTATTTGTTTCTGATTTACTTTTTATAGAGAGAGGCATGGCTTCCATGTAAAAAGAGGGAAATAACGATATACAGAAAGCTCCTGAGGACAAAGGTAGTCAGGGAGATGCCAAGAAGAGACCAAATAAGGAAAAATGTACTTGGCTAGAGAAACCTGTGAGAATCAAGATCCTTTATGGGTTGAGACCTGGCTCTACCACTTACTAGCTAGATAACTTCAAACAGCTTGTTTAACCTCAGTTTCTTCATCTGTGAAAGGGGGATGATAACTGCACCTACCTTGTAGGGTTGTTGTGGGGATGAAACAGACACATCAGGCACTTAGCTGGCTTCTCTCCTAATTCTGCTTTCTCTACTGCAGAACTCTGGACACCATCCATAAAAGATGGTGATTTTTTTTTCCTTAATTTTTTGGGAGAGATTACAATCTAGAGAAACCACCCACAGATAAACAGAGCTCCACACACATCCACATTTCAAAAACATTTTGTATTTTGGTGTAGTTTGGAAACATTTGCACTAGATTGTTTGAGAGGTGATTTCTGAGGTTATAAGCAAAGCATATATGTGCCTTCAGTACACAATACCAACAGCTTCGAAGAGACTGGCCTGAAAGCACAGCCAGTGCCATGTCCTAACTAACTGCAAAGGGTTCCCACTGCAATGTCAGACTCCGCTGGGAAAATTCATCATCTTTCTCCCACAAGAGCCACAGGGTTTAGGAGAGAAAACACTGGGGAAGCAGCACCAAGAGTCTGGCCTTCTTAAAGCAGATGCTGGCTTCTTTGGCATAATGTCCGCATCTTCTATCATTTCGTGGCATTTATTTTACAGGTGGTCTTGCCTGATAGGCTCGTGGGAATTCAGAGAGATAGAGCTGCAACCCTCTTGAAGGTGTGTTTGGGAACAGAGGGGCTGCCAGGGGCTCACCTACCCTAAGGGACAGTGATTACCTGCTGCTGACAAAACAGAGCTGGCTAACACATGCCCAGGGCTACCAGGCACTCCCGCAGGCAGTGACAATCAGCTCCAGCAGAGGTCTCTGTCGTGCTGTGTGCTCCGGGCCCACTTCCTCCTGAGGATCCGGGGAAGGTAAAGGATGCCCTGTTTTTCTATTATTTCTCCAGATGACTTGTTTGTGACAATTCCACTTTACTTATATTTTGAGTGGGAGGTAGGCCCAAGGATATCCAGAGCTGCCTGTTAAATTGGAACTAGAAAAATAAAAACAGAACCTCACGGCATTCAGTTGCTCAGTACTACGCTGTGACCTGCGTATCTTGGGAAAATCACTTAATGGCCCCATGCCTCAGTTTCCCCTTGTCAGCTGAGGAACGTAGACAAAACGTAAGAGGGTCTTACTGATGAGTATCTTTAAGAGGGTGGGAGTGAGGCAAAGGCACCTTTTATTATTCTCGCGATTGCTTAAACATGGGACCGCATTCAATATGCAACACTCAAAAGTTGCCCCACAGAGAGAGCACTTCCTTTCTGTTGAATTCTAAACTAGAGGCTGCACTGTGGGGAAGAACTGCAAGATCTGCACTGGCCTTGTGGGAGCAGGATGGCCTCCAGGAGACCAATTAGTTGTATAAGGCAGTGAAAACATCTAGAAGAAATACGATTTCCATTCAAAGCTTCAATGAGGACTAGTTTACCGTGTCTGGTGTTTTATAGGCCTCTGTGCAGGGTTATTTGTCACAGAGGCCCCTGCTCCTGCAGCTACGCCAACTCTAAGTGGTGGAAGAGATGAGTGTTTCTCGATGTTTTGAATCCCGCACTCTCTGCCCTGCTTTCTCGCTCTGTCTTCTGCAGGTCCTCATCAACTAACTACTTTCTGTCATTTCTTTTACAAAATCAGTGGTTATACTGTATTTTTTTTTCAAACCTCTCTGTCTCCTCCCAATCTTCCAGTCCCCTCCCTACCCCACTCCCCCCACAAAGATTCTGACACAGTCCCCTCGGGTATGGAAGTACAGGGCAGCAGTTAAGGATACGGGTGAAGAGTATGAGCTCTGGAGTCTGATGACCTGGGTTTAAATCCTTTACTCTTCCTCTTACTAGCTATGTAAATTAGCCTGGGCAAATTAGCCTACTTTCTCCATCTGTAAAATGGGGACAGGACTATTACCTATATGATAAGATAGTTGTGGGGATTAAGGTGTTCAGAGACATCTATGGTACATGGTAAGTGCTTAATAAATGTTTTTTGGGGCTTCCCTGGTGGCACAGTGGTTAAGAATCCGCCTGCCAATGCAGGGGACACCGGTTCGAGCCCTGGTCCGGGAAGATCCCACATGCCGCGGAGCAACTAAGCCTGTGTGCCACAACTACTGAGCCTGCACTCTAGAGCCCGTGTGCCACAACTACTGAGCCCATGCACCTAGAGCCCGTGCTCCGCAACGAGAAGCCACCGCAATTAGAAGCCCGCGCACTGCAATGAAGAGTAGCCCCTGCTTGCCGCAACTAGAGAAAGCCCGCGTGCAGCAACGAAGCCCCAATGCAGTCAAAAAAATAAAATAAATAAATTTAAAAAAAGTTTGTTGTTGTTGTATTAGGAAGACATATCCCCCAGGTTTAGAATCAGTTACTGGACAGACTGATCAAAAGCCCTACCTCCAGTGAATGTGCAGAAGGGCTGCATCAGGCTCCACCCAGCATCTCACATGGCATCTGACACTCAACCCAACTGTGGAAGGAATGAGTGTGTGAAGGTGAATTATGAAAGGTGGCTGAAACTCCCTGAAGCTGTATCTAGCAAACCCAGAAGGACTGCAGCTCCTGAACGCAAAGGAAGCAGGTCCCCTAGTATTCACAGGGTCTTGCCCAGACTGCCTCCTGAAAGACTGCACCTGCTACTCATTGGGTTAAACGTGTTAAATACATGACCTCATTCGATCGTTACAAATTCATTGTAAAGTGCATATTATTATTCCCCTTTTATGGAGAAAGAAACAGGCTTATAGAGGTTACACTCCAAGGTCACACAACTAGTTAAATGGCAAAACTGGAATTGGGACCCATATCTGTATGACTCCAGAGAGCATGCTCTTAATTGCTAATTTACATTGCCTTCCAAGATGTAGACTACCAGTCCAAGAACTACCTGTCAGCTCACTAGTGCCAATAGCCCAGATGAAATCACATAACATAGCGCCAAGAAAAACAGAACCCTTTTGAGGAAGAAATGGCAATGTCATACAAAACAGCAGTTCAACAAACATTTACCGAGCACTGATTTATTCTGTTGCAGGCATTATGCTAGGTGCTGGAATACAAAGATGAATAAAACAATCACATGGGGGAGACAGACGCATATACAGACCATTTCAGTATAATGTGGCCAGCGATAAGGTAGAGAGGGACACACTGGGGTGCTATGGGAGTATGCACAGGCCCTTTCCCATGCGGAGATGAGAGGGAGATGGTTCTTAAGCTGAATAGTGCAGGATGCAAGGGGATAACTAGCATGGAAATGGGAGGTGTGGGGTAGAATGGGAATTACTAGCATGCAAACACGAATGAACATGCTTTAAATGGAGACCTACAAGCAGTTTGGTATTAAGATACACAGTAGGAGGCAGGCAGTGGTGAAAGGTGGGACTGCAGAGGTGGACAGAGGTCAGATCAGGAAGGGCCCTGAAATGTCCTGCCAAGGACTTGGCCTCCATCCAGAGAGCAGTGGAAAGCTGACAAAGGGTTTCAAGTAGCAGGAAGTGTGGACGGATTTGCAGTTTAGAAAGCTCACTGGCAGCAGCGTACAGAATGAATGGAGGAGGTATGCTATAGGGAGTTCTTTTATCTCTTTATGCATGGACTTGGACTCAGTTGCACAGATACAGTAGTGAATATCTGAATATGTATGCTTAACATCTGAATTTGCATGTTTAACATCAATGGAGCATACAGAAACTGTTGGATAGAATAAATGTTTTAACCAGCGGCCATGTCAGTTACCTTTGTACCAACTTTTCTTCCTCTACCTTGAAATATAATATCTCCTTCATAGTTAATCCAGGAAGCTTGGTGAAAACAGTTGTTGGTTGAAAAGAGGGGGAAAAAGGGAGAGAAAAGGGGTGGCAGAGAGTTCTGGGTGGCCATTCCTCTGGGGTTAGATGTGCTGTGCACAGGAGGCACATTTTACACTTTAGAAGCTCTCATATCATTACTTCCACAATTGCATTCTCTCCGAACAATTGTGAAGGGAAAAGATTTACAACTTGTCTTCTATTTTCTTATTTATCTTTGTTACTTCAGAACCTCACCTTTCGAGAAATAGCTTCTGAACTTAGCAAGACTGGCCTCCAGTTTATGAAGGAGGATACCACACAGAGGAATGGAGGCTCAGAAGCTTCCCTGGGGGGAAAGAAGATGCTCGGACTAGCAGAATGTGTCGCCAGGTGGTGGGCCACTGGGACTCCCACATTTGGGAGGGACCGGTTGTCAAGAGAGATTGGGAAATCATCTCCAATTTAAGGGGATGAGTAAATGGCGGGGGGGGGGTCAGGTTCCCTAATAATATCCAACAGGGGTATTAAATCCCTCCGCGGTGAAACGATCTTTTGGGGACTTTGCTCATGAGGGCTCTGCCTGGATGGGGCTGTGGGTTGTGAAAGAGGTCCATGGCTACGAGAGAGCAGGGTGCAGGGGTGTTGGTCAGTCTGTAAAGGGGCCTGGCTGGGGAGCTCTGGCTGCGAGAGCGGGGGCGGGGGCTGGCTGTGCGGGCCTGGTCCCTCTCACCTTTCCGGGCCTTGTCTCCCGGGATGTTCTGGGCTCGCAGCCGCTGATCCAGGATGTAAAGCATCTCCCCACCCAGGTTCAAGAAGAGCAGCGGTAGCGTCCGCACCGACATGGTGTCGGAAGCGAACGCAGCTGGTACAGAGCCCGGAGGTTTGGTAGTCAGAGGCCTGGAGGCCCGTCAGACGCGTCCTCGAAGGCCGGTTGCTAGGCAACACGGCGGACGGCAAATAAGAGCCAATCAACAGGCCGCTTGTTGGGAGGAGCCCGGGGGCGGACGCGTATTGGGCGGGGCGGCGAAGACCTACAGGGTAGATTGGTCCGAGCCGGAGGTGGGAGCGGCTTGGGCCTTAGGCCCGCAGCGCCTGTTTTGAGTTTCTTGAGCCCCGACGGATGGGTGAGTACCCGGCAGGGCTGGCGGCCCGGCTTCTTTCACGCCGTCACCCTCACCCCGCCGGCCCGCGTGCTCACGTGCCCACGTGCCCCTGAACCAGGGAAACCCAAGCAAAACTCCTTTAGAGCAGACTCCGGGCAGACAGACCTGGGTTTGAATCCCAGCTCTGCAGTTTCCTCGCTGTTTGACTTGGGGCAGGTGTTTTGAGCCTGGGCTTCCTCATAGGAAAATGGAGGGGACACCCACCTCCCAGGGTTGCAGAGAGGAGTTATTGCGATCACAAAATGCCACGAAAGCACTCAATAAAATGGTAACTGACTTTTAGGTGGGGGAAGGACCTATTTGCATTTCCTCCCTAAAAGCTACTTGGAGTGTAGCCCCTCCTGTTTCACACACCGGGAAGCAAACCAGGCCTGTTCACGTCTGTCCCGCTGTGGGAAGACGCGTGCTGGGGGCTCTCCGAAGCTACCCCCCACGCTGTTAAGCAGGCCTGGCATCCAATTCTCTGCTTTGAGGGCAGTGACCACATACTTCACCCCCATCTTGAGCTCCAGGATCACATTTTCATCACATGTTGCACATTTTTACTTTGATGAGCAACCATTTCTGTAAATTTCAATACTTCTATGACCTCATCATCTTCCCCTCCAGCCAATCAGACTTGAAACCTTAGCCTTGGTTTCCAACTCCCTCCCCCTGGTCCTCTTATGTCACCAATTCTGCTTTTTCCACCAAAATCTTTCTCAAATTTACCTCTTCATTTCTTTCTATCTGCATTACTGTTTCTCCATATTAATTGCTCTCTTTTCTTCTCCACGGGCCTGGCTGCTAGGCTAAATTTCAGAAGACACCACTTTTAGTATGACATCCCTTCAGTGGCTCTCTAGTGGCCAGAGTGGACAGCCTTGAATGCCATACAAAGGGATTTCACCTGTGATCTGCCAAACAGTAGAGAGCCACTGAAGGGATGTCATACTAAAAGTGGTGTCTTCTGAAATTTAGCCTAGCAGCCAGGCCCGTGGAGAAGAAAAGAGAGCAATTAATATGGAGTAACCAGGGAAGCCCAAAGCCGAGTTTTAAAAAGAGTAGTCTAGGGACTTCCCTGGTGGCGCAGTGGTTAAGAATCCACCTGTCAATGCAGGAGACAAGGGTTCGAGCTCTGGTCTGGGAAGATCCCACATGCCACGGAGCAAGTAAGCCCGTGCGCCACAACTACTGAGCCTGCGCTCTAGAGCCCACGTGCTGCAACTACTGAGCCTGCATGCCGCAACTACTGAAGCCCGTGTGCCTAGAGCCCGTGCTCCGCAACGAGAAGCCACTGCAATGAGAAGCCCGTGCACTGCAACGCAGAGTAGGCCCCACTCCCCACAACTAGAGAAAGCCTGCACGCACGCAGCAATGAAGACCCAATGCAGCCAAAAAATAAAATTAAAAAAAAAAAAAAAAGAGTAGTCTACACTCACAACCTGAATTTCCATAACATCCTCATTCCCCACCTCACTACCACTGGATTCAGCTCCCTCCACTCTACTGAAACTGCTTCACCATGAAGACTTTTTGGTCCTTAACTGACATCTCAGCATTGGATACTATACAGTAATTGAAAGCCAGCAGCCCAAGGCTTTGATTTGATCTTGCCTGGTCTGTGCACAAAAGGGAATATAACTAGGATGGGAATGTAACAAGCAGCTTAGCATCGTTATCTTACACCTGGCCTTCATGCATTATGCTATCTGCCTGGTTGCTAAAGGCTTTTGAGTTTGCTACAGTGTAATTACCAGAGCTTCTCAGACCACTTTTTGCCCTAGGCTGTGTGATAATAATGAACAGAACATGGGCTTTGGAGTCAAGACAGATGTGGGTTTGAATCCTTGCCTGCCCCTAACCAGCTGTGTGAATTTGGACAAATTACCTAACTTCTCTGAGCCTTAATTCTCTCACGGTAAAATGAGGATAATTATGCCAATATGGTGAGGGGGGGCAAATAGGTAAAGGCGGCTTTAAAGATGAAATGAGTTAATGTGCCTAACATGGCACTTAAAACAATGCCTTTCCCGAAGGGCCTGTTCCACGAATGTGCGAATGTGTTCCTTTTCTTGCCTTCTTTCCACTAGCCCCCTTACATGTCAGCACCTGGCCCTCCACACAATACCTCTTAAGTAGCTGTGAGTCCTGCCCCATAAAAGGCTTTCCCTCTTGTTCTTGAGGTGGTATTTGAGCAGCTCATCTTCAGTTCTGACCCTCTCATCTCATTTCTGATTCTGCAGGATCCCAAGTCCTCTGTTCCACCCTCACTTCACCTTCCCCTTAACCTCGGCTACTCCTCCTGACTCAGGCTATGCCCTCAGAGATCATTCTTCCCATCCAGACATGGTCCTTTCTTCTTTGTTTACATTCCCTCCCTGGGCAATTTCACTCACACCCATGGCTTGGGTCACTTTAAACGTAACTCCCAAAGCTGTCTCCAGCTGCTCTTTGGACATCACTTTAACACACCTTCCTTCCTTTCCGGCTTTCCTCAATGGCAGGGGTATTGGTGTTCAGGTTGAGAATCAGATAAAAGCTACAAGTCCTGTCCCTAAAATCGCACACATACAAAAAACATTGCTTATAAATTCTGGCTTCCTTTCTCACTCAGAATGAAGTCTAAGGTCTTCCCCACAGTGATATGGACTGAATATTTGTTCTTCCCAAATTCAAATGTTGAAGCCCTAACCCTCAATGTGATGGTATTTGGGGGTCTTTAGGAGATCATGAGAATTAGGTCATGAGGGTAGAGCCCTCATCATGGGATTAATGCCCTTATAAGAGGAAGAGATTCACTCTCTCTCCCCGTCTCTCCCTCCTTCCACATGTGAGGACATAGTCAGGAGGCAGCCATCTGCAAGCCAGGAAGAGATTCCTCATCAGAAACCAAACAGACCAGCACCTTGATCTTGGAATTCCTAGCCTCCAGAACTGTGGGAAAATAAATTTGTTGTACAAGCCGCTCGGTTTATGGTATTTTATTTATTTGACTGCACTGTATCTTAGTTGTGGCACACTGGATCTTTTAGTTGTGGCATGCGGGCTCTTAGTTGTAGCATGCAGGATCTAGTTCACTGACCAGGGATTGAACCCAGGCCCCCTGCATGGGGAGTGCAGAGTCTTAACCACTGGACCACCAGGGAAGTCCCAGTTTATGGTATTTAAAAATGGCAGCCTGAACAGACTAATACGTCCCACAAGCTTCATACTACCTGGTTTCTGCTTGCTTCTCGGACCTCCTACTCTTCTCTTTGCTCACTCAGTTTTGGACATACCGTCTTCTTTGGGTTCTTCAAACATGCTAAGCATACTCAGGCTTCAAGGCCTTGGCACTTAACTTGGTGTAAGTGGGTGGGCTTTGTGGGGAAGGGCTTATCCATGACACCCCAGAATTTATAAGCAATGTTATGTACATGTGCAGTTTTAGGGACAGGACCTGTAGCTTTTACCATTCTCAATCTGAACACCAAAACCACTGCCCCCCAATCAATCAATCGCTCTGATCTCTCCCCCTCCCATCCACCTCCACACTGATGCTGCTTAACTATCAAATAGCCTTGTTACCATCATCACGCCTTTGGTTTTCAAACCATAACTGTCTCCCCTCTCCATAGAGGACCGTGTACCGTCTCCTCAGCCAGCATATGAAACCTCATATCCCAGCTTCAGCTTACCCGTCAAGCTGTATGTCCAGTTCTGCTGCTCTCTGAATGCAGCATGCACCTGTACACTTCTTTGCCTCTGCACCTGCAATTCCTTCTGCCCGGGATGCCCTCACTCCCATTTCTGCCCAGTGAACTTCCACTCATCCTATACGGCCCCATCTAGAAGGGAGTTCGTATGCTGGCCTCCTCACGCTTCCTCTGTGCTGCTGTGTGCTCAGTCTTGCCTCCACTGAACGGCCCCTGGAGGACGGGGTTGTTTCTGTGAGTGTGTGTGAGGTGCGTTATGAGAATGCATCCCGTGGCATGTGAGGGCAGGGACTCTGCCTCAGATATCCCCCGGACCCCAGAGTTCCATGATGGAATGAATTCTTCCTCGTCCTCAGGCCACTAAGAGCCCCACCTTCTCTACTGTTATTCTTTAAGGCAGCAAGACATAATTTTAACATTTATTGGTTTTCTTTGATTGCCTCTGGTCCAGTTTTGGAAGGCCTCTCTGGGTTCTTCTGGCGTTGTTTCTGGCTGCTGCAGCTGCAGCTTTTAAGGCCCTTTTTTGCTTCTTCAGCTTTTGAGCCTCTTGGAAAACCTGGGGATGAGAGAGGGCAGGAAAAAACTTTGTAATGCTATGCAAAACCTCAGACTTCGAGCATCTGGGGTGGGAAGTGACTCCCCCAGATGGTCACCCTAGCCTTTCTCTATGGGCTTCGTGCCCTGGGAGCCACCTCAAAGCCTCGGGGCCAGCTCCACGCCTTGCTCAGAAACAGACGACCCCTCCCTTATGCTCTCCCCACCACGGTCCTGGAGTGGGGCCAACCAAAGCAGCAGTCCCGACTCGTACCCGAATGCACAGAGCCTTCTTGGTCACCCAGCGGCGGTGGGCTTTTCGGTAGTACAGAGGGGGAAAGGTGTACTCAATCCCCAGCTCCCTGCATATCTTCTCAAAGACAGCATAGTTGGTCTTGCGGAGGTTTTTGAGCATCTTTTTCCTCTGGTCAATGCTCATCAGTAGATAGCGCTTGTGGGCTTTGTCCTGTACGAGAGTTGGTATTACTTTGAGTATTATGTAAATAAGTGGTGTGCCACTTCACAGTAGCAAAGGATGGTCATTTTACCC